TCTGTGCTGACAGCTCAGAGCCTGGAGCCTGCTTCAGATTCTGTGTCTCCCTCTCTCTCTGGCCCTCCCCCCGTTCATGCTCTGTCTCTCTCTGTCTCAAAAATAAATAAATGTTAAAAAAAAATAATAAAGTTAATTATTAAAAAAAAAAAAAAAAAAAAAAAAAAAAATGTTTCTTGACCAGTTGCCTACAGCTGATGAGCTCCAGTAAGAGCGAAACCAATTCTCACTCCTGAAACAATATTGAAGTGTGAATTGGTCCTGTAGTACTGTGTCAGAAACAGAACCAACTTTGGGGGGGGGGGGGAGGAAGCTTCAACTGAGGAATTTTGTGACTGCTAAGGTTTAAATACAGCATTTTCCCCTAATGAATAAGAGTTGCTAAAAAGTCAGATAACCTGTGTTATTTTGAACTCAAAAAAAGGAATAGATACTGTAATTGCAATCACTATATCTTTATATGTGAGTGTAGATTGGATTTGTATGAGCACTTCTTAATTAAAACAATTTTGTAAACCTGTGTCTAACTGCTCTTAGGCTATTGGATCCTCAGTAATTTCAATGACAATTCCCCTATCCCCAAAGAAAAAACTTGGACAGCAACCACACTGGCCTACATCTGTGTTGCCAACTGGAGGCCCGCAAGAGGACTCAGCTGACTGGTTCTCACTCTCTCTGCTATTCCGGTTAATTGTGGACATAATCAAGCTCATTGTACATAATCTTGTACAGTTACTTAATCTTTGGTTGATGGCTTTATTACATATATACACATAGATTTTTCTCAACACCTCTCCTTTTGTTGTGCAAGTAGTATTCATTTGAGCATCAGAAAATTAAGTTTGCAAACTAAGTGGTTACCAGATGTCAATTTATGTGAAAGGTCAGGGGCATATAGTGAGCAACAATATAGAAAGTACTTGTCTTTTGAGGTTAAACTAAGCTTCCTTTAAATTATGGAAGGGTAATATGTAAAACAGTCTAAGCTGAGGTAATCATAAAAACAGACTTATTTGTTTTCACTTAGATAAATATTGAGAGTGAGACAATATTTGTTCTGCGCTGTTCGTATAATATTACAAGTCTCAGATCATTGTAGAAACTCAGTGGATCCCACCCTCATTGAGAACTGAACAACATTTAACATTTGCAAGAATAAATGTAAATATAGTAAAGAGTGTATGTTAGATTATTCATTATTACCATTATTATGTTGCTTGGGATTTAAGAAGTTTGATTCACTTCAGAGTGAGGTTCCTCCTTGAAAGTACAAAGCTCATTTAAAAAGCTAGAGACTGTCCAGAAATGTCATTGGGAAGGCAGGGACTGTGTGCTTGATGAGTGTATACAAATGCAGTATGTTTTCATTTACATGAGAGATTATTTCTGTACTTACAATGAGAGAAAATTTGGAGGAAGATGTGGATTTAGAATTGGTCCTTTAAATGTAGTTAGACTCCGAATAGACTGAAAGGAAGGACATTTTCCATGGCAAAGCCATGGAAATGTTAATGTGTAGATTGAAGGAATCTTGAGTAGACTGGTCAGGGTGGTAGATTATAGTGAGGTCCTAGGATTTTAGGAATGTGTTGAGAGATAAGATTGGACAAGTAGTATGACTGGTTTACTGAGGAGGAATCACATTCTGAGGTATAAACGTGGTTTTAGTTTTTATTCTTAGGTCTGTAATCATCCTCTGTAAAACACCCCCATCCTTTTTACTTCCCTCTGAAGTACAGTCCCTTGTATGGGTTTGATGTTGTATCTTTCTGCCACTTTTCATTATCAGAGAAAACTTACTCCAGAAATTAAGATAGGTTTCAATTACTTAAGAAACAAAACAAGCCACAAAAAACATTACAAACTCCTTTTTCTACCTGAAGAAAGGATAAAGGTGTTATGTTTCCAGCTGCTTGAATTAAAGAAGAGGTAATTTGACTCTAAAATATGTTCCCTCTTTTTTTTCTCTAGCTAGCCCTTTTGTAGTTGGCCGAAGACCAGCCAGTCGAGGCAGAATTCTTATTATAGGAACCTCCAAAGAGGAAAGAGATATCCCTGGTCTTAATCTGGTTCATCTGGTTGCATTTGGTGGTAGTCTCCGTGGAGGTTATGATATGTGTGGATCTTCTAGGGTCAGTGTTGTAGCTCCCTGGTCCCTTCTGCCATCGAGGGCCGGCTCCCTTCACAGGGCAGCTCCTGTTCCCTTTTGGCAGAGCTATTGTAGTACATGCTTCAACCCCTTTTCTGGATTGGGTGATACTTGACCTAGTGCTGTCTCAAGTCACTTGCACTTTTTATTAAGCTCTTTATTTTTTTACTTGGAGTTGCAGGGAAGACCATAGGAATGGAGTAAGACTGAGAAATCAACATTTCAAGTGTTAAGGTATGAAGTGATTACACCTGAATTGGGTTGCAGGTAGGGGACAGTGGCAGTAGAAAGGAAAGGTATAATTGGAGGAGACATGAAGTTGGCGAAAGAATATGAGAGCAAAGGAAGGGAAGGAGTCATGACTAAGAAAAATGATACCATTGACAGAAATCGAAAGGATTAGCTGGGAGTGCTCAATTATAGGAGCTACAATTTTGATTGGAGATTTTTAAACCGTTTTCAGTTTGAGGCTGTGGTGGAATATCCATTTGAAATGCCTACATTCAGATGGAGATTTTAATACCGGTACAGAGATAGAGTGAAGGCAAACAGGAATTCATTATCTGTAACTCAAGAATACTGGACTGAAAGTAACTAATGTGGATATCTGCTAGGAGTTGTTGGTTCAAATTTTCAAAGTGGATGAATTCTAGGAGGGAAAAAAGGGTGAAGACTGAACCCAGGAGAATATGAAAGCTGGATAAAAGGATACTCAGTATTTGCTTAGTGCTTTTCTCTTGACAAAGCATGGCACACGTTCTCTAATGATAAAACTTACTTGCTCTGTGCTGGAGAGTCACAATGCCTTTGTATTACTTAACTCATTTAAATAGATTCTTTGTTATCTGTTACTTTGGTCAGCTCTGAGTTCACCTTCAGTTGCTATAACATTGACTGGTTATGATGATTAAAACCACTTCATTAGTTTTTAGATTGATTTCTAAATTAATACTTCAAATTCGGCAGCAACACATTCACAAGTTATATCTCACGGTGACTTACTTCAGGGAGAACTATACAGGTGGCTAATGCCCCTGTGTGAGAATTATTTTATCTTAGATTTTAGAATACAGCATGCTTACGAGGCCTTTATAACTTACTGCATTAATTTGTATTGTGTAAACCAAGCCTTTAATACTAGTGTGGGCTTTGTCTTCGTTATAATATATATGCAGCAAGAAAATGATAATTTCTATTTGGTGCTTTGGAAATATGTTATACAGATAGGTAATGTGTAGGATTAAGGCCAGCGTCTGTGCTAGTTGATGCCTCAAAGGACAATCTAAACTAAAAACCAGAGTACTTAACAAACTGGTCCTCTTAGAATTATTCTTCCCCATTTTCTACACTCCTAGAAGAATGTTCCTCAAATATAGTACTAGTTTTATTAGATCACCTCTGTACTTTAATGCAATACTCGAGAATCTACTGTGTGCTAGGAACTGTAGTATAATCAAGTATACAAGTCCATCATGATTTATGGTGTCATAAAATTCATTCTTGCGTATCATTCCCAGGTTCCACGTGACAGTCTCTTATCATTTTTCAGAATCCCTGACCAATGCTTCCATCACAGACCGACGTGAATATATATCTTTCTGTTATTCAAAAATTTTATATTTTTGTTTTCCATAAATACACCTTCCATCTGGAATTCTTTCTTTCCTAGTTTGTGTCAAAACTATGATCTGCCCCCTTTTTAAAAAAAATTTTTTTTTTCAACGTTTATTTATTTTTGGGACAGAGAGAGACAGAGCATGAACGGGGGAGGGGCAGAGAGAGAGGGAGACACAGAATCAGAAACAGGCTCCAGGCTCTGAGCCATCAGCCCAGAGCCCGACGCGGGGCTCGAACCCACGGACCGCGAGATCGTGACCTGGCTGAAGTCGGACGCTTAACCGACTGCGCCACCCAGGCGCCCCTATCTGCCCCCTTTTTTATCCAATCTTATATGACACTGGTAGCTCATCTACTCTATACATGCTTTGTTGATGTGTGACGAAAAGAAGTTGACGGTTCTTTTTCATCAAGATTGCTGAAATATTTTATATTTATCTGTCTTAGGATAATTTTTGAAGTTGACTAATTTTCAGAAAATAACTAAAATAGTAACCCTCATAAACAGCATAAAAATGTATTCTAGTTGTTGAATTCGTTTTGTCAGTGTTTCTTTTATGACCCGGGCAGTGCATATGGGCTCCATTTGAGTTGCATTGAGCATTGTTTATTCTTGATGAGAATGTTTGAAAATCACCATGGTACTTCCTGAATTTTTGCCTGGATGAAAAACAGATTCCCGCCAGGGATCTTTAACATCCAGCTTTAGGAGCCTGGGCTATAGATAGAGTTTTATAGATAGGGTTTTCCTTGTCAGTAAATTGTTATCATCGTTAGTGTGAGTTGTTTTATAATCTTTCTCTTCTAGTGAAATATTCCTTCAATATTTTCTGATAGATTCTTGAGAGTGTCTTTTGCCTCTCATGGAACTGAAGGAATTCTAAACAATTCAGTTGAATTCTAACAATTTAAACTTGTATATTTTATACCCAACATCTCATAGAGGTGATTAAGGAATGCAAACTGCACCTGAAGTGAAGTTGTGTGACTGAATTAAAGGAGGAAAGGAGAGTAAGATTTGTAGCACCCTCCTGGTTGTGGCACACTTGGATTGCCTGTCTTATTTGTTGTGGGGTTTTTTTTCCCCCTTTCAAAGAGTTATTACTGGTAAATTTGTGGCCTTAATTATTTCATATCATGGAGTATATGCAAATACATATGAGGTCATGGTTTACAAAACTTTTTAAATTTTTTACAATTTTGATGTTTTCGCTTTTTTAGATGTAAAACGAAGACCAGGAACAGATTTGAAGCAGTGCAGAGTGAAGTGGTGCCAGTCAGCATGTCAGAGGCAGAGCACATAGCCTCCATTTCCTCTGATAAAAATATCGGGAAAACATTTGAATTAAAGGAAGACTCCTGCAACTTGTTGTCTGGTGATGACAGCAGCAGCTTAGAAAATGAGTCTACGCTGCCATCATTAAACTTTGATAAAACTTTATGTCAGCCTAATGAACACAATCAGATTGAAGCACAGGAAAACTATATTCAGGATCATGGTGGAGGTGAGGATTCTTGTGCTAAAACAGACATATGCCCAGAAAATTCTGAACAACTAGCTAATTTTCCCGGTGGAGGTTTTACAGAGCAAGCTTCAAAAACAAAGGAAACTGAGCAGACAGTGACACAGATATTGGCGGAATTGAGGTCATCTACATTTACAGAAGCAGCAAATCAAAAGACTTATTCAGAAAGTCCTTACGATACAGACTGCACCAAGAAACTTATTTCAAAAATAAAGAATGTTTCGGCGTCAGAGGATTTGTTGGAAGAAATAGAATCTGAGCTTTTATCTACAGAGTTTGCAGAAGAACACCGAGTTCCAAATGGAATGAATAAGGGAGAACATGCATTAGTTATGTTTGAAAAATGTGTGCAGGAGAAGTATTTACAACAGGAGCACACCATAAAGAAGTAAGGTTTTAACATTTTCG